CTGGGTTTGGATGAACCTTTGGTCTGACCTAGTGTGGCCGTTCTTATGTTCTCATGACTGGCTGTGACTCCATGTTGAGGCTGTTATGGTGCCTGAGGAGTTTACACTTGAGAATTGGTTGGTGAAATCTATGTATAGAACTCACAGCCTGTTAACATTTGTATAAATGTTTTTCTCTCTATCAACATTTCTCTGAGTACACTCATTTGCTACAATCTCTGCAAGAGCTGGTTAAATGTTGTTATTGAAACATTTTTCCACTGAAAAGTGGCTTTTTGACCAAAATTATTTTTTTGCAGGAAAAATTTCATTTGAATCGAAATTCATTTTTTCCCAGCAAGAACAAGAGATTTTAAAACTTTGTAAAATCGCAAATGAGTAAAAAACTTTAATTTGCTGTTCAATAAAAGTTTTAATGTAAAAATTGGGGGTAGATAGTGAGCACAGAAGGTGAATGGGGGCAAACAAAGAGAAAATGAATTTCAAAAAATGAAACAAAAATTCTCAGATTTATTTAGCTGGCAGTATTGTATCCAACTGGGAAATCACCCTGAGAGAATTAATCTGGAGGTCCCCAAGAGTCAATTTTCTGAGTCCGATCACACTTGTTAAAAACACTAGAAGGGAATGTCTCCACTACAAACTTACATCGACCTGTGTTAGGTTGCCTTGCAGCCACCGCAGTATTTCTTGCAGTGGTCCATGTCCATGGTACCCTTCTTCTGACTGAAGAGGGGCAGTGTGGGTGAAAGTCCGGGCTCCTCACTTCCGTCTCCCCGCTGGGAGGCTGGCTGCTCCCTGGGCTCTCGGCTCCCCACTCCCCACCAGGGGCACAGCAGAGAGCGAGGAGCCGGAAACTCCAGGCAGCCAGGCTCCCAGCGGGGAGCTGGGTGAGCACAGCTCAACTTGGAGCAGGCAGCGGGGAGCCAGGACCCAAGGGGTAGCCCCTCTTTCAGCATGGAGTGGGGAGCCGGGCAGGTGCAGCCCAGCTGGGACTGGGGAGCAGGGCTGGCCTTACCGTGAGGTGAACTGAGGTGGCTGCCTCAGGTGCAAGACTGGGGGCTGGGGGGGGGGCACTAGGACCCAGAGTGTAGAAAATTGTGTCTGCTGCTGGTGCATCTGTATTCTCTCTGCTCTAGATGCACAGAGAGGGGGGAGTGCTGGGCTGGAGGAAGGAGGGCACAAGAGACAGAACAGGCAGGCAGGAGACAAGGGGAGAGGGAATCACAGAACGCAGCAGGAGCTGCAGGGAGACAGAGGAGGAGGAGCCTCTTATGTACCCCTCTAGCACCCCCAAGGCCTGGACTGATTAACCCCAGCTTCTCAGGGAGCTTCCTGTTTCCTGCTGCTTCCCGGAACTCACTTGAGGAGAACAGGCCATCAGCTGAAGTAGTAGGAGCCAGTTAGGCCCTTAAGACTCTGATCTCTTCCCTCACTCAGGCCCTGCTACCAGCCTGCTTATTTGTCCCCTTCAATTGAGTGTTGAGAGCCACTCTAGCTGGCACAGAACAGCAGTCACGAGTGAAAGAAGAAAACGCCCCCCGTGGGGCAGCATTCAGAAAAAGCAAGCAAGCAAAGGAAGCTTTTCTATCAAAGCAGGAAGGAACTATCCTGAGAGACATAGACACAAATGTTCACGGTGAGCCTTCCGGCCCCAGGGAGGAGTAAGTGGTGAGGAGATGCCTGATCTTCCAGTCAGTCAGAGGGCAGGTGACCTGGCAGCTACTGCAGCATCTGTATCTCCATCTTCAATGGATGTAGCCATGCGCAGTCCTGAAGAACAGTGTAGATCAGAGGAGAGGGTGGTGGAGGCGCAAGAAACAGCCGCTGCTGAGTTTAGTTCGTTAAGTCTAGATGATCCAGGACTGTGGACCCACTTGAGCAGTAGCCTGAGGGACTTCCTTGTACTGCACGGGCCACAGCAAGTGAAAAACTTCATGTTCTCCAAAGACAATGAAAATAGAAGTTTCCATCCAACCCATTACTGGCGTGAAGTCCCCAGTGGTGCCAAAGTGGAGAGGCCTGGCTTATGTACTCAAAAACCCAGAATGCTGCATACTGTTTTTGTTGCAAACTCTTCCAGTCTAATGTTCCAGCCACACTGGGTTCTACAGGAACAAAGGACTGGAAAAATCTGGCTAGAAATCTGGCATGCTATGAGAAGGCAGCAAATCACCAGAGAGCATTCCATCGGTGGAAAGAGCTTGAGATGAGACTAAGGTTAAAGGCCACCATAGAGGATCAGCATCAAGAGAAGATAGCATCAGAGTCTCTTTACTGGCAAAATGTTCTGAAAAGGCTCATTCCCATGATGAGAATGCTTGCTACCCAAAACCTAGCACTGCGTGGCACTTCAGATCAGCTGTTTGTGCCAAACAATGGAAACTTCCTTCAAATAGTGGAGCTGACGGCTGAGTTTGGTGCTGTGCTCCAGGAGCATCTAAGAAGAGTCACCACCCAAGTCGTGGTACACACACCACTACCTTGGAAAAACCATTCAAAATGAGATCAGACAGTTCCTGGCAACAAAAGTCAAACAGAAGATTGTGGCAGGTCTGAAGTCAGCAAGATATTCCTCTGTTATTCTGGACTGCACACCTGACATCAGCCATACGGAACAAATGACTTTAATGGTGCGTTTTGTAACAACAACAGAACCTAGTGAAAATGTCCCTGCAATGGTGACTGTCAGAGAGCATTTTCTAGAATTTATCGACATTGATGATACAACAGGACCTGGTATGACAAATGTGCTTCTTAAACAGCTGGAAGAGACGGGAACTGTGATCGCTGACATGAGAGGTCAGGGCTACGATAATAGTGCTAACATGAGAGGAAAGAACTGAGGAGTGCAGACACGGATCTGAGAGTTAAACCCTCGAGCTTTTTTTGTCCCATGCAGTTCTCATTCATTGAACTTGGTGGCCAGTGATGCAGCATCAGCTTCTAGAGAACATCTGGGAACATCCTCCCTGACACTGAAACCACTGAGTGCCACAGGATGGGAAAGTCGAGTGGAGGCGATAAAGCCTATCAAACACCAAATTGGGAAGATAGATGATGCCACAGTTGCCATTATGGAGGACAGTGCTATGACAGGAACTGTTCGTGGGAGAACAGTGGCAGAGGGAAATGGAATCACCAGAAACATACATAACTTCAAATTTCTGTGTGGCTTAGTGTTGTGGCATGACATACTGTTTGAAATAAATGTTGTAAGCAGGAGACTCCAAGGTGTTGACCTTGATATATCTGGAGCAATGGAACAACTGGACAAAGCAAAGTCATACCTACAGTCTTACCGGTCAAATGAGGGATTTCAAAACGTTCTGAAGAGTGCACAGAAGTTGGCAGAGGAACTTCACACTGAAGCTATTTTCCTACCCATTCAAGAATACAAGAGTCACCAAAGAAGAAGACATTTTGAATACGAGGCACGGGATAATCCCATAAGAGACCCCAACCAACAATTCAAAGTTGAATTCTTTAACCAGGTGCTAGATTGTGCAATACAGTCAGCTGAAGAACGTTTCATGCAGCTCAAGGAACACAGCAGTATATTTGGAATGTTGTATGATATTCCAAAACTCCTCACTATACCTGAAGAAGACCTACACCAGCAATGCAGGGCACTAGAGACAGTGTTGACACATGATGACATGCGTGATATTGATGCGAGTGATTTAGGTGATGAACTGAAAGCCCTTTCAAGATACATTTCATCAGGATCAACTCCAAAGGCTGTTCTGGAATATTATGTGCACAAATAAGATGACCACCCTCTTTCCAAATGCTTTTGTTGCTCTGCACATACGTCTAACACTTCCTGGAACAGTTGCCAATGGAGAATGCAGCTTCTCCAAGCTGAAGTTAATAAAAACACATCTGCACTCCACAATGACACAGGAGAGGCTGGTCGGCCTTGTAACCATCTCAATAGAGCATGAGCTGGCCCAGACTGTGGACCTTCAGGAAGCAGTTCAAATCTTTGCAACCAAGAAGGCACGGAAAGCACCACTTTGATTATTCAAACAGATACAAATGCCAGTGTTTACCATGCAGACAAGGAAAGTTCAGGTGTTTGAAAGTTAAATGTTACTTAAAATTTTTGAACAAGGCATTTTAAGTTGTTAGTTCTCCTTTATTGGGGTAGGTAGCAGAGCAGTACCATGAGAGGAGTAGAACAGGAAGAAGGCAGAATTCAGAAGTTTCGAAGTTTTGGCCCAAGCAAGGAGGCATGGGGGCGTCATTTGAGCTCCCCGCCTCAGGTGCCAAAATGTTGTAGGCCGGCCCCGCTGGGGAACCTGGGCAGCAGCTTGGATGGGAGCAGGGAGCCAAGAGCCTAGGGCGTAGCCGAACTCAGGCTGGAGCTCCCCACACATCCCGGTGTTCTTCTCAATTTCATGACTCCATGAATGAGCCGAGGTAAGTAACCCACAGCGTCTGCACAGACAATGTGTTGCCCTGACTACACCAACATAAGGCCTATGCCCGGAGTTATTATGTCAGTGTAGTAGGGCACTTACATCGGTGGGACCAAAGCTCTGGTGTGTACACTGACATGAATAGGTTGACGTAAGGCAGCTTACGTTGACCTAACTCTGTAGTGTAGACCAAGCCAGAGGGTGAGATGCTTCCACTTTTACTCACTATGACAAATACCTTAATTTGCAGCTGGTCCCCTTGAATGAATGAGCCTGCTTGTGGAGGAAGGTATAACCCAGTGTGGATTAGCATGGCAGAACCCAGCCCTACTGCATCAGGAGGTTTTTGTAAGCTAGTTTCCATACTCAGCCAATGTGAAAAACAACATTTTCAGCGGAGGAAAGGGGAGTTTCCTGTTAAAACCAAGTTACACCCCAGCCTAGCGTTAACCTCAAGAGAACATGCATTCAGGCTCCCTTCGTACTCTGTGTGGCAGGAGATTTTGTCATTTGGGATTAACCAAAAGATTCTAATTTTAATTGAAAGTCTTTTTCTCCATGCTAAGCAGTCCCCTGCTGCGCTCCTAAGTGCCGGGTGGCCTCGTCTGGATGGGGAGAAAGGTTCGCCCTTAACACAAGCTAAAACCTTGTGGAGACAAGGTAGGTCATATTTTTCAAATTACTTGTTAGGCTCCTCCACAGGCTTTAACTTGACCTGCTGACAACTTATGTGAAAACTACACACTGCCTTGTCTTCGTTAGGATTTTACCTCAAGTTAGTTAACTCAAGTTCTAGGTCCAGTGTTCTTTAACATTTTCAGTAATGACCTGGGCGTAGGTATGGAGAGCATACTGATCAAGTTTGTAGATGACACAAAACTAGGAGGGGAGGGTTGCAGCACTTTGGAGGATAAAGCTAAAATTCAGAGGGATCTTGCTAAATTGGAGAACTGGGCTATAGACAACAACATGAAATTCAACAAAGACAAATCTAAGGTGCTACACATAGGGAAGAACAACAAAATGCACAAATACAGAATGGGGGATAACTGGCTTGGCAGCAGCACGGCTGAGAAGGATCTGGGAGTTGTGGTGGATCCCAACCTCCACATGAGTCAGCAATGCGATGCTGTTGCAGAAAAAGCAAATGCAATTTTAGGTTGCATTAACAGAGGCATAACATGCAAGTCACAGGAGGTGACAGTACTGTTCTACTCGGTGCTGGGTAGGCGTCAGCTGAAGTACCGTGTCCAGTTTTGGTCACCAATGTATAGAAAGGATGTAAAGAAACTGGAGAGTATCCAGACGTGGACACAGATGATCCGAGGGATGGAATGCAACGCAAGGCGTCTGAGCAAAGACTGAAGGAACTGGGTATTTTGATTTGGAAAAGAGAAGACTACGGGGGGACATGACAGCGGTCTTCAAACACTTGAAAGGTTGACTTAAAAAAGATGGAGAAAAGTTGTTCTCTTTTGCCACAGACGGCAGGATGAGAGACGATGAGTTCAAACTACAGCACTGCAGATTCAGATTAAATCTCAGGACAAACTTCCCAACTGTAAGAGCAGTAGGACAATGGAACAGATGCCTAGGGAGGTTGTGGAAGCTCCTTCACTGGAGGGTTTCAAGGGCTATCCGACTGTCTGGGATGGTTTAGACACAGTAAACCTGGCATCTTGGCAGGGGTTAGACTAGATGACCCTTGCGGCCCCTTCTAACTTGATGGTTCTATGATTCTATGAGTTAACATCCCTCTTCTGCAGTGACAACAAGGCCGTAAGGGTTGGCTCCTGGCCCTCACTCAGGTAGCTACAGCCAGGCCTTTCCCTCTGGCTGGTGTGGGGGAGGATGCTTCCTGATGCCTCCCTGACCCTGGATCCTCTCTGGATCTTCCACAGGTCTCTTTCTGCCCTTTACCCTTCTATCAGGGCCACAGGCACCAGCTCTCCCAGAGCGAGGGAGCTCTACCAGCCCCTTGCAAGACTCTGAGCCTCTCCCACCAGCCCCCTATGTCTTTCTTTTTTAGTATGACACTTAACTGGGAGGAGTGGTAGATATGCTGGAGGGTAGGGATAGGATACAGAGGGACCTAGACAAATGGGAGGATTGGGCCAAAAGAAATCTGATGAAGTTCAACAAAGACAAGTGCAGAGTCCTGCACTTAGGACGGAAGAATCCAATGCACCACTACAGACTAGGGACCGAATGTCTAGGCAGCAGTTCTGCAGAAAAGGACCTAGGGGTTACAGTGGACGAGAAGCTGGATATGAGTCAACAGTGTGCCCTTGTTGCCAAGAAGTCCAATGGCATTTTGGGCTGTATAAGTAGGGGCATTGCCAGCAGATCGAGGGACGTGATCGTTCCCCTCTATTCGACATTGGTGAGGCCTCATCTGGAGTACTGTGTCCAGTTTTGGGCCCCACACGACAAGAAGGATGTGGAAAAATTGGAGAGAGTCCAG